AAATTCTATCAGTGCTTCTATAATTTTCAATGATGGACTGATGAACTTTAAGCTCTTTCCAACGCTTAAAGAATTCTAGGGTTTCTTCTTAGAACTTCGGAGACTATGATCTCAAAAATGAAAACACTAAATGATTCCTTTAGGCTTTCTTTAGTAATGACGTTTTTTCATCCAAATGGAGGTAATCAACTTCTTTCTTTTCTTCCTTATCTCGCACCAGTGCAATCTCATTTCAAAGTTCTTTCAACCTTTTATATGTTCCAATTCCAGCAATTTCTGGACACAACTCTGCGTAAGCTCCTCCCACTCTCCCGTTCGCTAACTAACTCCCAGAACTGATTTGCAATCCATAGGTTACCTATTACGAAGTAATTCTTAACAAAATTTGTAAGCAGTGCTTAGTAAACCACATCCGAATTTCTAGCATCATCTTTCTTAACAGCGATCTACAGTTTTCCGCGGGTTGTCGTTTTTTTTTCTAAAAATAGAGGAAATACTGAAATTATTCGCTGACCATGCAATATCTTCGTAGGTGGTTTTCATAGCTTAAAAAAAGTCTGTCATCAAAGTACAACGATGCTATTTGATATTAGAAACTTTTAAAAGCTATTGTGCTTTACCGGATATCTCTGAAAAAGAGAGAAAGAATTTTAAAATGTAGCTTAAATATTAGACGTAATCTTATATGCTCATGGCGTCACTAAAAATTCATTTCCAGAAAACTTTTATGACAATTTTTGTCCTATTTTTCCGATTATGTCCCGTTCCCATAAAGCTTTCTCTCAATCAACTCATGAAAAAAGATTAGTATCTTATTTCTTCGGAATGCTAGAATTCCCATCTTGACTCTTTGATGCATGTTCATATTTTAGTAAAACGAAAATTGTATTTGTATCCGTGCTTTTTTCCGTTAAACAACAGCTAAATCATCTTTGGGATGTTTCATTTAAATCAATTATTGCTAAAAAATCATGTAAACACGCATGTTTGCTCTCCATATCTGAGTTTTTCACTAATCACGAAATTTTGATACAATAAGTAAGCAAATCTGAGTCAGAGTAGGGGTGAATAGTCTGTTCACTAAGCTAAGAGTGTTTTGTGAGGCAATGCTGTTTCTCCAGTGTTTTCTCGCTTTCTAAATCTAGCATACGAGATTTTCCAGAAAACGTTTTCCTTACCTCTTCAAATTATGAAGCACAGCAGTAGGCTTCGTCCCGTGAAATACGACCTTTTGCCAATTTCCTGTCCCAACCTCAACATACTGGACATCGTAGGCTGAAAAATCAGATTACTAGTCTCTTATTCAAGCAATCCTTTAAAATATTATAAAACCCACAGACAACTTGCTGTTCCATGTTTGATGGCACTTCCCAGGTAAGATTTACAATTCCACGACCATTGGATTGGAAATGACTGCTAATGATCAGATTTCCAATTTCGAAATAATCCGTTTCTGCAAGGAATAATGGTATCATCTAGTTCAAATACATTTCAGCCACAATTAATGCTCTCCAGCTTAAGATTTTTTGTGGCCTACACGCAGTATCACGGGTTACTGCTTGCCTTGCATAATTAATTGAGCAAATGCTTAGATTTACGCGTTCATCTTATTGAGTAAGGTAGGGGAAGGAAGTGCTAACGTCAAAAAAAGAAGAATTAAGCTCTAGCTTCATTAGTATTTCTCGTCTCTCACCTCTAGGCATGTGAATCTCCACAATTGCCGCCGTTGACGATACCTGTGTTGGACCAAGAGCGCTACGAATTGTCATTTCGTACTTCTCGCCAGCAATTAGTTTCCCCAAAGTGAAACTATTGGCTGAGGTTTTGATCTAAAAGCTTATAGTTTTCATATAGCAGGCAATCTGCATAGGTAGAGAGTTTTTTACTTGCTGTTGATGAAGTGCAGTTCCCGAATCGGATGTGAGCTGTTTAACGTTGACAATATAAAAGAGATCTGAATGGGAGTTTATTAGTCTCGGATTTCCACACATGTACTTTTTCCATTGGAATGTTCTAACCTTCGAAACCTGGCTACTTTTAATGAGGAATGCTTACAAAAGAAGGTTTTTACGCTAAAACCTAATAGCATACCCCAAAGGGCAATACAACGCATTTTACTAAACGAAATCGAAGGCTTATCGCTAGTCATTTCTAAATATCATGCTCCTTTGAAGGTTTCTTATTTTTAGTTTCTTGTAAGAAACTTTCTTAAAAAACGCAAACGAAGACCCTTGTCTTTTTTTATCCAGGATGGT